TACTCTACTTCGAGCAAGTTGTGATATTGGGAATTAAGAGTCTTGATACAAGTATAAAGAGCTATAGTTTCCCCATAGAAAAGACCTCTGCTTAATTCGTGTGTTTCTCCTTACTTCCTCAGATTCCCCTTTTCACTTTATTAGTAACTAATAAAGAATAGTAGACTCTATAGCCTTTTAATTCTTTTCTTACCATCCCATCCCTCCCTTACTATGTGGACTTCACTTGAGACAGGAATATCCAGTTTGGGGTGTATCACTAACCCTCCCTTCCGCTATTCCAGTTGACCGTTTAGTGTTGTCTAGGTGTCGGGACCTCCGATTTGTAATTTGTATTCTAAGACCTCCAACAGTACTCTCGTACTGGAGCCATTAGGTCACAAATTAGATTAGGAAGACCCCCCACCCAAACACTTGTAAAACTACAAGCGTACACTTAGTATTAACACATTAGTAATGATAACACAATATGAGAATTGAACAGATATAATGTGAGAAATCAGACGTACTAGAACTTCTGAGAATCTAAGTAAAAACATACATATATAAGTAAGACTTATATTTACTGGGTGAAGCCCAGTAAAACCCTTAAGAGTCTAACACAGTGTAGAATGGATTACACTACACTAATAAGACAAATCAAACACGCTACCAACTTGAAGTTCACTACACAACATCTAAAATATAAAAACGTGGAAGCAACCCGCATGAAGTACCGTTTAGCTTCTTCGGTTTCTTTTCCCCTTCTCATTTCCTGTACTTTTTAAAAATTGCATTGTGATTGTGATCGCTCTTCATGCTTTTTAAATCCTTCACTACCCCTGCGGTCGCGTCATGTCCTCTTTGTCCCACTTTTATTGACTTTTCCCCTACTGCCTCACAATCTATTCTCAATCTGTCTTTTACATATCCCTTTGTTTTTGTTGTTCTTGTTAAAATCTCTCTATCATTAACCATTTGGATCCTTTTCTTCCTTCTTTCTTTAACCACTTTGTTCATCCTTTTCACACTTTTTCATCACTGCTTTTTCCCTTTGTTGCTTTGGATGTTACCATTTTTACCACCAAGCTTTTCAGCTTCCCCTCTAAATTTATTTGGTCTCGCCTTGTACATATTCTCTCCTACCCTATAAAAAGTGGTAGTTCCCGGTCATTCCCCTATTCACTCAGCACCATTTTCCCCCAGCCCGTATCACACATTTTATCCTTTATACTCCTCCACTTAGTATACATATACCTACATTCTCTCCATACAAACTCATCTATCCTGAAGCAATCCAATGTTTATCCTGTGAAGTAATCCACTCTGTTGGCAAATACCTTTACCACATTATTTATCAACTTCTTCCTCCCAACACCTTGTTCCTTGGAAATCTTCAGTCTCATCTCTTCTTTTTATTCTCCATCTACATCGATTGACTGCTCAGCTTAAATCTTTAATTTTGTGCCTTTTCACATCTCATTGCTTTTCAGGTTGAGGTGCTATCCCAATGGCTGTTGCTCCACTTTTGCTTGCCTACTACCGAGGCAGGCTATAATAACTCCTCTCTTTTGGTATCATCTAAGCAACATCTCATCCCTGCAGTTGTTCACAGTCAATCACACATAAACCTCAATTTTGTTCATCCGCTTCACTACTTTGTTACAAATTCTTAGATTTTCTTCCTTCATATTTATGCCTGTTTCTTTAAATGAGAAGTTACAATTAAGGCTTGCATCCTCAATTCATCAGTTCCTTTAGATGTTTAAAAAGCTGTTTGTCATTGTCCTAATGACTTTCTACATATTGAAGCCTTGGATAAATAGCACTTCTTATGTCTGTTCTTGTCCCATTTACCCACCACGTTTGTGGCCAATTTCTACCTGTGTTACCATGTGTTCAACCCATGTAGGGGGTGCTTATTGCAACAACCAAATGATTGACTCACTTTAATCTCCTTAGATGTTGCACCTTCGATCAACAGCAGATATTTTCTGCCACAAATTTTGCATTTCACAATCAAATTCTGAATTACAACTTCATGATTTGAACCAATTTGATCAAATTGAACCCAATTTTTCTAATCAATCAATTGATTTTTAAATTC